TGCTCCATCTCACTTGAGTAGAGTCTCCGGAGCTGTTCTTCAATACCAACGAGAGAGTGCATGGATGGAGGTATGTAGAATCTTTGATAATCTATACGCACGGTTTAATAACCAATCTCTTTCTAAATTTTGAAAAACTTTAGAAAAGGAGCCCTCTTTTGAGAATACAAAAACCATTTCTACCGGTTATGTTTCTAATAAATATTAATATTGTGCTATGGGAATGAAATTTTAATTTTACTTTTATCGTTTCTATTTTTTGCAATATATATATATATATATATATATATATATATATATATATGATATATATATATATTTGAATTCTGTGTTAATAATTTCTGTTTTTATAATTTCTTTATAGTTTCATTTAATATTTTTCTTTTCCAAAATTCATATTTTAAAATTTTCTATTGTATAATTTATGTTTTGTATTAATTATTTTTTTTAATTTTATATTTTCTCATAAATTATTTGCTATTTTTAAATTAAAAAAATTATTTTAAAAATTTATTCTTTATTTAAAACTAATACTTTAGACTTTTATGTCAAAAAATAAAAAAAATAAAAAATTATATAGTAAATTGTATTTCCTTTAATGAATTATATTCTTTCAAGTATATTTTATATTATATCCACTAAATTTTATTTTACCTTAAAATAAAAATAAGTCAACTTGAACTAAGACATATATCTCTAAGGTCGTGAGTTTGAATCCTAAAACAATAAACAAAATGGTTACCAAATTTATTCCGATTTTTTATTCGGAAAAACTTAAGAAACAAGAAAAATATCTAAGATTTGAAATGTTGTAAAATTGAAGGCCGTGCAGGACATGATCAAGTTTTCTGAGCATTGTATGATTGGATCTGTTCATTTACGATTTAATCATGGGATTCTTGATCTAGCTTATCATAGATGTTGGTCGCCCAACCCTTTGTTCGCATTGATGCATGATGACCTTCTAGGCGAGTGTAGAGAGCAGATCAGAATTACAGCATTCACGTGTATGTCAATGGCAACCTTAATTATAATTGTGGTTTCCATAGCATCCTTCATGATGTCAAAGGCCAATTATGGCCATGGGGACAGTACTACAAACAATAATATTATAATAATTCATACTTTCTGGCAAAACCATGGATTCACTGTGTTCAGAACATTAAACATTGTATCTGTGGTGTCATCTATAACTTCGATACTCGGCTTTCTATTTCTTCTTCTGCCGCGCCATTTTGAAGGTGATTTCTTGGAATTGGTGCCCATTAAGTTGATGATGGGACTGATGATGCTATTTGTTGCTGGAGTATGCATGGTGTTGGCTTTTAGTGTCATCTTCTTCACTGCAAATCATCAACCAAAGGCTAAGCCTTTGGTGGCTATTGGGGCAGCATCCACCCTTCCATTTTGCTATGTTTGTGTGGTTCACTCAAAACTTGTGGTGGGTTTTCTGCGGTTTTCTTATTGGTATAAATTCTCTTTGAAGCGCTGCAAAAGAAAGTTATTATCCTAGCTAGCATTAAGATTGTTGGAAAACTTAGATTTTGTTTTTGTGTTATGGGTTTATTAATTTTGTTGATTGATTACATATGTGGCGTTATGATCATGGAGTGGCTAATGTTCTCTTTAAATTTCTTTGGAAAAAATAATTTTGGAATTGCAATTATATTTTAGATTTTATTTTCCCTTTATTCTTATAATTTATATAATAAAATATTAGGGTATCAAGAGTATTCCGAGTATCGATCCTCAGGAACAAATGAAGTATTTTTAATGAAAATGAAGCTGATCGGCGACTTTGTTATTGGTTTTTGGTGTGACAAATAATAAGGATAATGTTGGTTTTGATATTTAAAGACTCAATGCAATAAACCAAGCCTAGTTACATGACAAAGTTTTCCAACTAGGCGCCTTTATTTAATTTCATCGGTTTTACTTCGCTGTCTCCTAATATGTCTATTAGAAAAAAGAACTTAATTTGATAAAAACCAACCGTAACGTATTTTGACGGGTAATAAAATACATGATTAAAAGATGAATAGAATTAAAACAAACTGAAAATGGTGGAGTTGTAACCCATTGTGTGATTACAACTTCAAAGATAGCGAAGAGAAATAAAGATGAAAGAACTTTTACTAAGACAATTGAAAAGTAACATGCTGAAGCAGCCGAGAACGGTAGCGGCTCATCCTGATCGTGAGACTAAGGGATGTGACTTCTATAAATGGAAAGTGGAGCCAAACCCTAGAGGTAAGCCACAACATCCTACTCTCTACACTAACTCCTATCCATTCAACAACATGGATCGCTTCCTTATATAGAGAAGGAAGGAAGAAAAAGCCACTTCTCAAAAATTCTTATTGTGCGATGAGTAGAAAAGATAAAGGAGGGAAATAGCGTGAAAGAGTAGGAGAAGAATGTTAGGAGTGAGTGTGAATGGTTATGTAGAATTTAGAGAGTGGGAGAGAGAGAATGAGAGAATGGATGATTGAAGGAAATATGGGGAGAGAAGTAGGGAGAAATTCGGGTTGGAAGATATTTTAATTTAAATAACAAAATCTAATTTAAGTTAATTTTACTTTTTGTTATATTTATATTTTTGTGTATTATTTATAAAACATAAAATAAAATTAAAAATAATTCGGACAAAATACGGTATTTATAGTTTGTCCCACTTTGTACATCCTTACAGTATTAAAAGATGGACAAAAGACTAAATAAAGTATTTAGACGATGACTTTTTAATTTTCATTTGATGAAGGTGATGACCTGATATGGTAAGGGCTCAGTCTTAGCTTTAGGGCAGGGTTAAAAACATTGGACATCGATGGTCGTAGGCTTTAATTGACCTTCGTTTGAGGATCGTGTTTGATTTAACCAAAAATTTAAAAGGTGATGGACTTTGATGGATACATGCTCGACCTCGGTTTCAAAATTGGGTTCGATTTAATCGAAATTTTAAAGGTAGTTAACCTGGATGGATACAGACTTTATCGTAGGCTTTTTCAAAATCAAGCTTCAAAAGAAAACTCTTCTTTTTCTCCTCTTTTTCCAGTAACCCACAATCTCTGGGGCAACTAAGATGGCATATAGAATTTGTCTCCCTTATGAAATAATAACCAACCAAGTTTCAATAAACTTAATCCCAATTTTAAGTTTACAATAAGTTGAATCACAATATCCAATCAACAACCACATCCTTTCTCTACAACGTAACCATCTTTCTCTCTCATCTTTGTTTTTACAATTGGGACCCACATCCCACTTTCTTTACATTTCATATTCCCTTCCTCACGTAAGTGGCTCAATCTCCCAAACAATTTTTTTCTTATTTAATTAAGCACACTCATTTCTCTCTCCTCCATAACTATTCATCATCTTCTTCCTCAACTCATTCTTTTCTTCCTCCCACGAAAACCTTCACTGTGCTAACCAAAAACAAACCCATTTTTTTCAGCCATCACAGCAAGAAAACATACAATCTCTGACCCTTCTTTATTTGCTAACATTACACTCCTCTTCTTTGCAAGAAATCAAAGTATAGTTCACAAATCCACCATATCATTAACACAAGTCATCCCCCATCTCAGACGAAGGTCACGATTATTCTTAGTTCTTAAAACCCTAAAATACTCACAACCTCAAATAAACTTGGGATAATCAAAACCCACAAATTAAACTTATTAAAGATTCTATATTCTAGAAATTTTTTGCTTAAATCTCCAAAACATACCAAAAATCTAGGTCTCAAATCTCAAATCGGTTTCAAAATTCTTCCCTTCCTTCTTTGCCCAATACCTTCGACCTCTTCTTCTACACCAAGCCCTTGAAATGAATTTTCCTTGGTTATTCTCGTGTTCAAAAGGGTATCGATGTTATTGTCCTATCTCGAGAGATATCATGATGTTACTTTCTTTGAAAAAACTTCTTTTTCACCATTTTTGTGTAATCGTCACGGGAAGCATTTAAAGGAAGATGATGACTTTTTTGTTTATTCAATAGTCTCTTTTTTTACTAAAATGCCCTCTAGCGATACATATCTATTTGTGCCTAATCCTCCTCTCCCACCTATTACTCGGGTTTATTTTCGACGACAACCTCTTTCGATCACATGTCCCATACCTGTAGCAAAAAATGTTTACCGCAAGTGTACGGATCAAGTTTTAATAAAATGGTAAGTAATTACTGATATCGTCAACTGGATTGAGTTTCTAGCTTGCTCAAGTACTACATATATTAATGTTCATTTTTATTTAGAGAAACAACAAAAGATTTCTTTTCAAACACAAAAATCAAATAACAAAGCGATTAAAAGACTCTAAGGAAATCTTTTATGGAGAACGGGTCCTAGGGAATTGATTTCACGGACTAAACTTACAAATCGACAAATTAAACATGCCAAGATTGAATATGCAATTAATCTATAAGTCAAGAAATCATGAATCATAATTGTCTCGAGCATAATTAATTCTCCCACTTATTAAGAAACCAATATCCTTATCTAGTTTCATTAACAAAAAAAGGCATTAAGTCTAATTCTTTTAACAACCTCTAAAGTAATTCTAGATCTCACAATCGTAGAACTACCTCATGCATTCAGGTTCCAATCTAAACCACCTCTCCCGAGCGTAAGATTTATATTTAACATCAATTAATCTGTCATAAAGAGATTAAAAGGATTAAGCAAATAAATGCACAAATATATTAAGAACAAATCAATCAAGATAATTACTAATAAATCCAACTCATAAATCCAGTGGCTACATCACCCCCTAGAACAAGAAATTTTTAGCTGCTCATGTTCATGAAAATACAACCAAATTCCATTGAGAAGTTCATAATAAAACTATAAAAGATAAGGGAAAGGAGAGAAACTAAATCCATTGTGTCGATTTATTGTCCCAAACTCAATCTCCACGATCCCGAGCCTTCAAAAATAGTCTCCTCACCCTCCAAGCTTAATTTCTCGAATTGATCCTCTAAAATCTCCAATTCTCCACTCCAAAATTGTCAAAAATTCTTGAAAACGACGCACTAAACCCTTTATTTATGAAAGGGAATCGCTACAGTGTCATGGTGCCATTAGTGAGCGCCATGGCGCCGTCTTAAAATCTTAACGGACGGGCAAAGTTCATAGCGCCATGGCGCTACAAGACAGCGTTGCGGCCCTGTCATCACAAAAAAATGCCCAAGCTTTGTCTGTAGACACCATGGTGCTGTGTGATGGCGTTGTGCCACCACTTATTAAGGTTTTGCTCCCGTATTTGACCTGCATGCGCCATGGCGCTAGATGATGGCACTGGGCGCTGATTTGGCTGAATTAAGCTCCCCTTTTTGCTCTAACTTTCCTCTCAATTGATAACTTATTCTCCAATTTTTTCTAATGGCTCGATCCTGTAAAAATATAAGTTATGTACGTAAATAAGTCATAAATAATAAAAAATTGCCAAATAATTTCCACCTAAATGTTATGAAATGTGGCTGATAAAGTACACTATCAAAATACTCCAAAACTTAGCTTTTCGCTTATCCTCAAGCAAACATAACTTGTTAATAACCACTAAATCCAAGGAGAAAACTAACACCTAAATCACGCTCATCCCTCAATATCTCGTAACTCAACATACTGACTCCATTTTCTTTACCCTTTCAACTTTCTCAATCTCCAAAAATACCAATAACTCACTCATGCATACCGGAAGATAATTCCATATGACATTCAAGAGATTAAGTAGTGAAAAATATAATTTGGAAAAAAAAAACTCAAGCATCTCTGAAATCAAAAGCAAATACCTAACACTCTTGCAAAGTTTCACTCAAATCTCTCAAAAGTATTTTCATGATGCTTTTAACTCTCAAAATCAGAATATAGCACATTAGAGGTGTGCATTTATCCCTGAAAAATCGACCCGATCGACCAAAACCGATCTAACCGATCAATCGGTTTTGGTCATGATACGATCGTCATTGGTTTTACACTTTACAAAACTGACCAGTTGGTCAGTCGGAGGACTAAAAAAAGAGAGCCAACTGAAGCGGACCGACTATTCATATATATAAAAAAGTTTATTAAAAATTTGTTTCCACTCACGCCAATGATGCTCTTTCGCACTGCCACACGCCGCCTGGTCATAATGCCCCCTTTAATGGTTTTGAAAAACCATATCAAATATAATATATATATTTTTTTGTTTAATGTGTCTTCCCTCTCTCTTCACTTTCCATTTCCCCACACCCTTCTATCTTCCCTCTTTCTTCACTCCCCATTTCCCAACACCCTTCTATCTTCCATTTCCTTTTCCATTTGAAACATCATTTTTATTTTGTTTCCTGAGCTTTCTTCCTCCTCCGTCCACGCAACATCGCTTCTTTCTCCCTTCCCCTCTTTCCATTATGTCTTCTATCATAAGTCGGAGGAGTAAGCTTTTTCCTTTCCTTTCGCCGACGTCTCTATTTCGCCACTACCCATGCCCTCGACCACCGCTGCTCAGTTCCCATAAGAGCCCCACCCACATACCACACTCGCCGATCGTGGTTGCCGTCGCAGTAACCCATCGATTTGTCGAAAACCGACCGATCGAAGCGTTTGTTCAGTGAAATCGGTGAGAAAGTAACTTTGATGGTCGGTTGGTTTCTATTTTTGGAAACCAATCGAGTGTCAGTTGCGTCGGTTTAGGTCTAAAAGCTGATCCGGTCGATCGATAAATACCCCTATAGCACATTATTATCATAGCTGAATCAAATATCCCTTCTCAAATATGAATTAAATGCACGCATTCAAACAAATATGATGCTCCATTCAAAAATAAATAAGCTTTCAGCTTGAGTATCAGTGATAAGCTAAAGAAATTTTATGTTTAACTCCATACTGGTGAGCATCATATTAAACAATTTATTACAGAAATGCGAGCTTTCATCACTAATAATTGCGCGAGCGGAGTGCCAAATCTAGTAAAAATATGCTTATGTAAAAATTGTACACTACACGTGTATCATTATTTTTCGTAGTCACAACTTCAACCCATTTAGAAACATAATAAACAACCAGTAAAATATAAATATATCCATGTGAAGAAGGAAATGGACCCACGAAATCTATACCCCAAACATCAAATAATTCTACCTCTAAAATAGCAGTTAAGGACATTTCACGTCGAGAAATATTACTTGTTCTTTGGCACCTGTCACAAGTCTTTGCAAAAGTATACCAATATTTAAGACGAGAGATTGGTTGAAATTCTTACAACCAGGCAGTGGTAATTCTTGGCAGGAGATGGTTCAAACGTTTTTCACAAATTTTTCTCGCCTACCAAGACAGCTCAACTTAGAACAGAGATTAGATCATTCATGCAATATGGTTATGAGCAATTATTTGAGGCTTGTGAGAGGTACAAAGAGCTTCTGAGGAAATGTCTACAACATGGTTATCCGAACTCGTTACAGATTCAGATTTTTTTCTAATGGACTAAATGGATAGACAAAGACTATTTGGACGATGTTATAGCTGGAGACACGTTGCTATCAAAAGCACCTTAGAATGCTTACATTTTGCTAGATGATATGGCAACTAATAGTTTTCAATGATCTAACTAGAGATTTAATACCAAAAGAGTTGCTGGAATCTATGAAATTTGTTTATGCAAGGATATGAACGACAGTGTATTTCAGATTGCAGCTCGAACTCGGCCTCCGGACCGATCTGAGTACTCGGACGGACCTGCACAAAAAGGTGAGCACTCCAACGATCAAGTCAGTATAGGTCGGATTCCCAGTTTAGTTCGAGGTCAGAAATCATCGTACCTGATCGTGGAGTGAGGTCCTCTACTTATGAGTGGTAGTCCCGCTAATCTCGCGACGGTTACACCCGGTAATCTCGGGACCGTCGGTTACACCCGGTAATCTCGGGACCGACGGTTACACCCGATAATCACGCCGCAGACAGTAGCTCACATCGGCCCCTACCGAGTTTCCCGGTAGGTCAGACCTCGGCCAGGTTCACCTCGGCCCTCATACTTAGCATCTGTCAACGCTAGTGGTGGTGATCTCGGCGGTCCAAG